AACCTAGAGAGAACAAACTTGTGAGTTACAAATAGAGGGGCTTTGGGGGTGTTGCTTTCAGGTTTACTGGGGGAGAAGGTGGCAGAAAGTAGCCTACATAAAAATCTCTGGATACCCTAGGCATTTTTTTGTTTGTTTTCCCCATCCAAGGGTCAGATGGCACAGTCTGGGGACTGAGAAGCTCACCTGAGGGCCGTGACAGCTCGTCCCAAGCCAAGGGCTGAAGACAGCCCGCCCTAGGCAGGGCAATGTCCCCCAGGGGCTGGCTGGTACACTCCCCCTCCAATTGTCCCCACCCCAGTGTGGTCCCCTCTCCTGACTATGGACTATGTGGCCAAGGACAGCATCTCCAATTTCAGCACCAACACTTTTACCCACCCCATAAGTGGTCATACTATAATTTGAAGTAGGTGTCACTGCCCTCCCCCTTTATAAATGGCAAAGGGAACCTGAGAGTTGTGAATAGACTCCCCCCAGGTATAAAAAGCTTTTGGCAGAAACATTCAACAGATCAAAATATGTGGTGCATTTAGGATGTCGGTCCTCTGGGACATGCTGCTATTGTTAGGTGTCATCAAGTAGACAACTCACAGTGACCTTCAACAATCCATTGTATGGGTGATCATCTTCTCTGGCCTGTCCAAGGAAACCCAGACCTGCAGGCTGTGAAGCGCGCATCCCATCTCCTGCATGGGCAGCCGGTGGGCACTTGTCATCTCCCCCACAGCCGGTGGCCACCTGCCTTCCCCACCACCACCATCTTGGCTCTAAGAATTCTCCCCAGAACAAGTCCATTTTGCAGCAGTGTGGCAGCTCTGCTGCACCAGTCTTGGGGAGGCCCGGTGCCTACCATCCATCCTAGGTGAGGAATTCCATAGGTTCAGTCTGTGGGAGCTTCATGGAGCTGCAGCAGCTGTGCAGCACAGTGTGGGTTCTGCGGGAGGGTGTTGGGAGCTGCGAGACTCACCCATTCCTCCTTGAGAATCCTTGAATTCCTGTTGTTGAGCCTCGATCTTCACTGAAGATCAGTCATCAACTGTTTAACTGTTCAACTATCAATAAACAGAGGTCTGTAGAAAGCCATAGTGGCCCTGCTCCAAGTGGTCTGCAGCTCACCACTTGTCTCTGCCTCTGTTTCCATCTTGGGTCCCAGGATGTCAATATTCACTACTCTTAACTTACTCTCTCATTCTTATTGAATATTGAAGATTTGCATATGTGTAAGATCTTCGATTGACTGGAAGAGATCCATATTTGTTCCCATTCCAAAAGAGATGACCTGACAGACTGAAAATTATCAAACAATATCATATGAAAATAAGATTCTGCTGAAAATGATTCAAAAATTGCTGAAGCAGCAGATAAACAGAGAGCTACTAGATGTGCAGGCTGGATTTAGAAGAGGCCGTGGCACTAGGGCTATAATAGCCAATATTACATGGATATTAGCTGAAGGTAAAGAATACCAGAGGAATGTCTACCTGTGTTTCATTGACTATGGAAAGGCTTTTGACTGTGTGGATCACAACAGACTGTGGCTGACTCTGAGAAGAATGGGAATACCAGAACACTTGATTGTGTTTATACAAAACTTATATTGGACCAGGAGGCAGTTGTCAGAACAGAGCAAAGAAACACAACATAGATCAAAACTAGGAAAGGTATATGCCAGGGATTTGTTCTATCTCCATACATTTTCAATCCATATTCAAACAGGTTGTTCAGGAGGCTAGGCTCTATGAGAAGGAATGTGGTATCAGGATTGGAGGAAGACTCATCAACAATTTGTGTTATGTAGAACACACACACTTCTTGTTGCAATTGAAGAGGACTGGAGATGTTTGCTACAAAAGGTCAAGGACTGCAGCCTACAATATAAATTGAAGCTTGACATCAAGAAAACAAAGATTCTCACAACTGGGACAATTCGTAGTATCCTGATAGATGGTGAAGAAATTGAAATTGTTAATAGCTTCAGCTTGCTTGGTTCCACAATCAACACTCTTGGTAACAGCAGCCAGAAAAAATATATATATGAATTGCATTGGGAAAATCTACTGTGAAGGTCCTCTCCAGTGTACTAAAGAGCAATAATATCAGTCTCGAGACAAAGGTGTGCCTGATTCAGGCCATGGTCTTCACAATTACTTGCTATGCATTGTAGAGCTGGACAATAATTAAGGTTGATAGAAGATTTGATGCCTTTGAGCTGTGGTGCTGGAGTAAAGCCTTGAATATACAAACCATGGACTGCTAAGAGAGCAAATAGGTTCAGCCTAGAGAGGGTGAAATCAGGCTGTTCCTTGGAGACAATGATTTTGAAGCTCTATGTGACATACTTTGGACATTGCCAAGAGGGATCAGTCCTAGGAGAGGTACATTATGCTTGAAAGGGTAGAGGGACAGCACAAGAAAGGAAGACTCTTGATGAGATGGATTGATTCAGTGACTGGGGTATTGATTGTAAGTGTGCCAGAGACAATTAATTTGACTCAAGATAGAGCAGGGTTTAGGGCTGTTATGCATAAGATTGTTATGTATGAGTTGCAAGCAACTCAATGGCACATAACAAACACAACAACAAGAACTTATCACTGGGGTGTGTGTGTGTGTGTGTGTGTGTATTTTCTTTCTTTCTTCTCCCTTACTTCTCATCTCTGCAAATTCTTCAAGGTAAATTCCATGTTTAAATTATGTTTTAGCTTTTTAAGTTAGTGGTCTTATAATTACCCTTCTGTTACTGACATATGCCCCTCAACGTAATTTTTTTCAGGTTTTATCCTGTTTTGCAGCATTTCTCAAACTCTTAATCTGTATTTGTTGCTGTTGTTATGTGCCATTGAGTCAGAACCTACCTATAGCTGACCCTCCAGTGGATTTTCAGAGTCTGCAAATTATATGGAAAGAGATCACCTTTCTTTCTCCCATAAAACAGCTGGCACATAAGCCTCATCTTTCAGTTGGTATCCCAATTCCTTACCCAGTTTTTGTTGTTGTTGTAAGGTACCGTAAAGCTAGGGAACTAAATGATAGCTGACACTACAGCAGGATTTTAAATCACATCAAAGGAGATTGCCCATTTTTTTCTCCTGAAGAGGGCTAGTGGACCTGAATAGTATGTGTCAGGGTTGGAAGTAGCAACTCCTTACCACTAGGTCACCAGAGCTTCATCTTTATTCAATAGACCACCACATCTTCCTTTGATTTTTTAGTGAGGCATGCATAATACTCCATTGAGTGACTTGTACCACAGTTTCTTTAGCCATTTATTTCCTCAGGGACTTTTGGGTTGTTTCCAAACTTGCCATTGTAAATAGGGTTGCAATAAACCTGAGAGTGAGTATGCCAGTCAGTCTGTGTTGCAGCTCTCTTATTTCTTTGGAATATACACGGAATCGTGCAGTAGATGGATCAAATTCTATTTCTAGTCTCAACTTTCAATGGAAGCACCAAACAGCTTTCCAAGTGTTTGCACCATTTCATCTCCCCACCAACCATGTATGAGAGTTGTAATGTCTCCACATTCTCACTTTTTTGTTAATTTATTCTTGAACATCAGTACTTTAGCTAAGGAGAAAGGATATCCCCTTGTTTTAGTTTTAATTTTTGTAAAAGTTAATGTTTGTATTTCTTCATTTGTTTGTTGACTATCAAAATACCTTTCTTCATGCAGCATATTAATATTCTTACTGCTATAGATTTTAATATACACACATTTATGTACACACTTATTATTTTGAAAAATTTTTGAAATTAATGTTTTCCATGATTATCTCTATAAGTTTGCCTTTATGAATTTATATTAATCTTGCTACATCATTCAGACTTACGTAAAACTGATAATTTCTAATTTCAGAGTTCATATAATAATTCAACACTAAAGCCATATGATTTTTCCTAGCCTGACTGTTATTACTCTTTATTGTAACTATTGTAAGTATAGACATTTCCTTTTGAACATAGCTCTTTGTCTTATACCTGCTGATTATTTAAAAATTGTCTATGTGTATCTCTTAAAATATTAGTATATTCAGTTAGGAACACGAATTATTTTTGCTTTATAATTGATGTTAATTTAATATGAAACAGTCTATTCTATTATTCTTTATTTTTAAAAGGATTAACTGAGTGTAAAGAAGTTCTAAAGAATCTCTCAAAATTGATATGGAAGACTTTGTCAAAATCTAAGTAAGTACAGCTCAAATTACAAAAAACAGTGTATCACTACACAAAATAATTATTTATGTGCAGTATTATATTTTCTCACTAATAAGAATTTTGTATACATTGCAGAGATTTATAATTTTGATATTTTTCTTTTCTTCAGAAGTGTTACAGTATAGTAATTCACTTTTCAGCAAAGAGAAAAAGACTGAAGAATATAGAGAGATGACAGTGATTTGGTTTGTACTTTAAATGCTGTACAAGGTTAAACTCACAATTTAACTAACATAATAGTTCAGAAAATGCAGCAGTAGTTCAAGCCAAGTATTTTTAAATAGGATCCAAATATTATGAACATTTTATCATGTGCCTTTGATATACCTGAGTTGGTATAAAAATGCTATGTGATGGCAGCAAGACAGAGTACATTAAATCAATATATCCCCTCAAAAATTGCTTCTTGTTAATAAGCCAGACATTTGGATATAAAAATAAAGAATGTAGACTCTATTCCTACTGCTGGTGATATTTTGAATTTTATGATATTTACCCTAACACTCAAATTTTCAAAATGAATTTAGAGTTGGGAATCTATAATGATAACTATGTACTCTGACAAAAAGAACCTAAACCCCAAACTAAAAAAAAAACAAACATCATATCCTAAACACTTGTTTAGTTTCCATTACTTTGTAATTAATCTCAAAGCACTCTTATGGAGAAGCTGTTTCTAATCCCCACTTTACATATCAGAAACTTTTATTACTTAATTATGTTACTGGAGTGAAGCCACTACTCTTAAGAGCTCAATTTGCAGAGCTCAGAGCTTTTAAGTGATGAAGATTCTCACCCAGTAATCCTATTCTAGAGAATGCATTTTAGAATGTGTTAGAACACATATATAGCAAAGTCTAAAAGAATGCCCAGCTGAGTTAATTTATATTCCTGTACAATTTTACTCTTTCTAAAAAAAAGTAAAACCATGCAATTACCCACATAATGGCCAAAAGACCGAAACCCAGATTTTTTCTATTATTTTTTAAGTTTAGAAGTGTATGTTTCATGTTTTATAATACACAAAGAGAGAGAAATTATGTGGATGACCAGATTTTTTGATACCTATCAAGATAAAATAAATTTACAAGCAACTGTAAAATAATTTGGCACTACTTCATACTTTATCAATGAATCACTTGAAAGAATATACCCAAATGTCTCACTTGTGCCTTAGAAAACATTCACAAGAATGGTCCTTACTGGACGGTTTTTTTAAAGGGGGGGAGAGGGAGAGTGAGAG